ATAAATTCTGGATCTGCAAAAATTATGCTCGGGACCAAAGGACAAGTTCCTCGTCTAAGGCATTTCTTCAACCACCCCTCAACGTTACCTCACACGTAGCAGGAGAATCAGTTCTAAGGGTATGGATTCTGGTTCTGTATTTTTCTGGCTTCCTTTGACACTATTCGTTTTGATCAGTAACATTGGGATGGGATGCTGGTGTCTAACCTTGGTCAAGGAGACTTTCTCTGTTCCCGTCTCACAATGAGACAATAATGATTATTATCTGAAGCAAAAAAAAAATTTATAAAGTGAAGTAAGGAAGAAAGCAAGAAGGGCCTCTGCACTCTTTGGAAATATCAAGTCCTTCTTTAAAATGAGAAAACAAAAAAGCTTCCTGTTGAAATTAGGGCTTAATTACGAAGAAGCTGAGCCACGATACACAGTTCTGGGCTCCACTGAACTAGGCGAGGAGCTCCAAGCTGATCAGGTTCACCACACCCTTACCAGGATAGCTAGGTGGAGGCAACGTGGCCTGAGGGTTACAGCAAAACTTTTGTAGTTAAGATCTGGATTTGCATCTGGGCTCCAAGATTTAACAGAGTAACGATGCACCTTATTGAGCAGGCAGATTCCTCACAGGAAAAAAAGAGAGTTTATAGTTCATAGATTTGTTTGGAGGTTTAAGTATTCTAAACCATGTTAATGACTTAACCAAGTCCCTCACATTTACTGATTCAAATTGCTAGCTCCTTGATGGTCTTTCTTTTACCAGAAGGTGATCAACACAGCTATAACATCGTTTGTCTGGTATTAATAGAAGCAATAATTCCTTTTTCTATGCCTGTAAAATGACACACAGTGAATGCAGGCCTTCCTTTTTGGATGATATTAGAGACGTATCAGAACAAGTCTGTAATCAAGTCTTGCTAACATGAATTGTTCTAATATCTGAGTTCAGAGGAAGGCGATTAACCTAAACAAATTAATCAGGCAAAGAAACATGCAGGGACTCTTCCAGAACTAAGAGATTCTGCACCTTCATTCAAGTGCATTCATACTGAGCATATTGAGAGCAACGCATACTGAGTATCTTTTCTCCATCAGGTACTGAGGTATGACTGGTGAACAGGACAGCTGTGTTCCTGACATTTATGGCCTAAAGAAGGCAAGTGAAAGGCAGCAATACAATGCAATCCAGAGTGCGAATGACAAGGGGCATTCATCCCGGAGACCACATGGAGGGGCATTGCTTTAATGGAGTCTCCCTGTGGGTGAGGAGACTAGAGATGTGCTTTAAAGACTGAGTAGCACTCAGCCATGTGAAAACTAATGGGAAGCCGTTCCAAAAACATAAGAGACGGACGAAAGACAAACTTCAAACTTTTTTAGGCTGAAACAAGGAAAACTTGTGGTGAAAAGGTAAAAAGGCAAGACATTTATGTTAAAGCAGAGTTTCATTTAAGACATATGATCTTACTAGAAAATCTTAAATATTTTGAAATCGATAATTTCTGAACAATGTAGGAATATGTTTCATAAAACACAAGCCACACACAATTTCACAGAATTTATACAAAAGTGAAATCTTATTCTTGCTTTTATAATGCTATTAGCCCTCCGAAGTTACTTTGCTTTGGAAAAATGGTCCACTCCAGGGAAATCTGCTCTTTGACAGTGAATAAAAGATACTCTGGAACAACTCTGTAAGAATTTTGTTTTAATTTTTTCTCCACCATAATCTCAGAAGATTTAAAGAGGAAATGCAAATGCAGCATCTTTTTTAAAATGTGTATTTTAAAAGATATTACTAATTCTTATTTTCTTATGATATGTTTTATGATTTGAGCCATCTTTCAGCCTTCAAATTCCACAACTTCATTTTAGCAAAAAGTACAAGCATCTGGAAAGAAGTGTTAGAAATTATCAAACGTTTTCTATTGCTTTGCTTCTGAAACATCTAATGAAGGACTCAATTTGTGGCTTTTTGTTCAACAAGCTTTGAAGTTGAGTTCACTTTGTATACTCCTAACATGTACAAAAGAAACTAAGCAAAGAAAAAAATGTGCAGTTGGAATGAACATTTTTAGTGGTTCAGGAATAAAACAGAGAACAATGTATATTTAATGTTTGATCAGTTCCAATGAATGCAATCACTTTAAATTTTCTAATTTAGTATTTTAAAATCCTTAACCAAGTGAAGTTTCTCATCAGTTTCTTCTAGTTGCGTATTAAAATTATTCTAGTCCTTTTCGAAAGCGGGACCCTGAGTTCTAAACACAAGAACCTAAAAAATGAGGTGATACTGCTGACGTGGCTCAAACCAGTGCCTGTGATTTTAGAATCAGAGGAAATACACACAAAATGAAGCTGTTTCCTTAACTGTTCAGGGAAAAGATCGTTTCAGTTAGTTTCAGGTTCCCATAACAACTGGCCAAAGAACTCCAGGAAAAATTCAAAGCAGCAAATTCTGGTATCGTGAACCTTAAGTATTTAGTAAGCAGCAACAGATAAAGCAGCCAGTGATGATCTGGAATAATCAGGGCCAAGTTGAAAAAAACAAAACACTCTTTTTTATTCAGAAGTTTCTTTTTCATTTCCTTTCTTTTTCATCTTATACACACATATAGTTCTTTCCAACTACTGTTCTTCATTACTGTAATTCACCAGTGAACAGAAAACCAGTACTTTCTGGAGGTAGATGTAAACAGATTTTTGAGAACTTGCTCAAACTCAGCGATGGAAGCGAAAAACCATTATGCTAGGGGATAAGTGTAATAGATCTGAGTTTTTCTTATTTAATACTCAAATCCATGGAAATGTACTGAAAAATTTATTACTCTCCTGTAATTAACTTCATTCACTTCTCATTGCTGTGACAAATCAAGAAACTAAGCCAGACTTGAGAGAAATTTCAGTCCTTTCCTTCTGCTGTTGGCTTTCCTTTATTAATAACTTCTGATTATGCATTTTATTAATGTCAGACATTATCATTAAGAGCCTTCATACACATCCATTCATTTTACACTCCTAGAAATCTACGGGGAAAATATTTTTTATATATGAAAAAACATACATAATCAAATATTATAAATAAGTCCATTTAAACGGAAGCTTCAGATCTGTGTGACCCTCTAAAGTAACAAGACTTATAAATGACAGAACCAGAACTTTTAGTGCAGAGATTCTAAAATTCAATAGTTTCACTGTTATCCCCCAGTAAATGTGTACATTTTGACACAGATGCCAAAGACCATCACCAATTATTACACCGCTTATTGCCACTCTTCAACGTGTTTCATAATCAGTAACCTGACAAACAACAAATATCATCCCCTTACAGTTAAATAGAAAATGCTTTAAAACCCCAACCTCACCGTGATTTAAATTCTGCGGTATGTGGACGGATAAGGTCTGGCAACACTCACCTCTTTTTGACGGTACTTAATGGCCAATTTGAGTCTCGCGAGATCATTTCCACTCTGCTCTTCTATGAGACTATTGTCATCGCGGTAATTCAGGATGATTTCCAGCTCTCTGGAACTTCTTGTCTGATCCAGGAGGTCCTTAGCAAATTGTTTGCACTGTCGTGACAGCTCCTCGTACTCTGACTTGAATTCATTTTCCACCTTACTCAGTTCCTGGAGCTCCCAACTCAACTGAAAGGCTGTGAGAAAAGGATCTTCACTTGACAGGGCGATGAGGGAGGGGCTGGCCAGCGCCTTGTAGATGTTGAGTCTGGAGCGTGAGTGGCGGAGGCTGTCCACATCCGAGCTGGACACGCATTCAACGCAGTTACAGCGGACCTCGTGGGGCCTGGGCACTGACACCCCTTTCTGGACTAAAAGTTTTATTATCTCGTAGTTATTTGTATGGGCTGCCAAAATGATTGGTGTAATGTCCGGAGTGAATTCAGAGAACTGCTTATCAAGGAGTATGGGCGGCACCTAGAAAGAAGAAAGCAGAAGTTACTCATTTGCTCAAGCTGGTGAATTTCAAACAGCATGCTATAGCAAAGTTGAACAAGATTCATAAATCTTTTGCCAGTACTTTTTTTTTTTTTTTGCAAGGAAGATGGGGCTTTTTTCCCCCTCACAAGACAAGAAAAAATTAGAGGGGGAAAAAAAGCTTTCCAATGTAATGACACAGTCTTCTTTGTTTAATCCAGATTGTGACATTTTATGAAAAATCTGAAAATAAGTGGCTACGAAAACTCTTTACTTGATAAAAGATTTTCTTGCTCCCACCTTATTTCCTGACTGACAGTCTTTGCTTTTCTTTCCCAGAGATGTGGCCTCCTTAAATAATCAAGAAATACATTGAAAAATAGTTATGATCTATTTTAAGCCCAAGCTTTTCATCTGCCATAGAAAAAATTTTTTTTTAATTCCTCAATCAGGTTTTCTGCTTGTTTGCTTTATCTTCTGCATTCCTAAAATCCAGCCTATGCTTAAATGTGGCAGCAGAACATAAGAGAGCTGGCCTCTCGGCCTTCAGTTTTCATCTGTCCCTTTATAGTATGTTTTCCAGATAACAAGAGATGCTCCAGTGCTAACATCACTGTTTTATTAGAAATAAATGCTTCCCCATAAATCAGGT